AGCTTTCTTCGCCAGGTCGTCTACCTGCTCGTTTCCTCGGATGCCCACATGGCTGGGTATCCATGCGAACATGATGTTTTTTCCTGTTTCGGATAGTGTATGGATTTTCTGTTGTAGCCTAACTATTTTTGGGTGTAGGAGTGTGTAGTTTGTGAGTGAAGTGATGCAAGACAGAGAGTCAGAAAGGATAAGGAAAGATTTGTTAGGGGAATTTTCTACAGAGTCCAGTGCCATGTCAATGGCAGTGGCCTCCGCAGTGAAAATGGAGGCTTCAGGATGGAGTCTCCTCTGGTGTGTATTGTTGGGAGATAGGGCTGCGGCGCCCACTTCATTGTCTTTTTTGGAGCCATCCGTGAAGATGAGCTCCGCACCGGGGTATTTATCTATTAGTTTTTTTTATTCTGCTTGAAAAGTTTTGGTGTTTGTGCTTTCTTTGTTCTGTGTGGTCAGCTGTAAATCTACTTTTGCCTTGGTGAGGTGCCACGGAGGGAGGTCGGGGAAAAGAATTTGTTGGATGTCTTGTTTGGAAAAGTGTAAGTTTTTGAGGTCCTCAAGGATTCTGAGGCCGAAAGGTTTGATGAGTTTTTCGTTGTTTTGGAATCTGTTTATGGTTTCTGGATTTGTTTGAAAAATGCTGTTGTGTGCTGGATTTTCCGGTGTTGAGCTCTGTTTAACTGCGTATTGTAGTGAGAGTTGTGTGCGTCTGAGTGAGAGTGGTGGAATGTTGGCCTCGGCCTGGAGGCTCTCCACCGGAGAAGTGCGGAAAGCCCTCAGAGCGAGGCGGAGTCCTTGGTTCTGTATTGGATCTAGTATTTTTAAGACGTGTGGTTTTGCCGATCCGTAGACTTGACATCCGTAGTCAAGCCTGGACCGGACAAGGGAGATGTACAAGTGGAGAAGGTGTTTTGAGTCCCCGCCCCACTCCGGATGTGATAGAATTTTCAAAGCGTTTAACGCTTTCTGGCACCTCACACGAAGGTCTTTGATGTGTGGTATGAATGTAAGTTTTTTGTCGAAAATGACACCGAGGAAACGAGCTTGGTCCTGGACGGGAATCCTTTCCCCGTATAGTGTCAAATCCGGCTGCAGCACACGTCTGCCTGTTCGGCAGAAGTGTACTTCAACCGTCTTTGACGGGGAGAACTTGAAACCGTTGTTGTTTGCCCATGTTTCAAGTTTTTGCAGCTGCGTTTGCAGCTGCCTTTCCATAGATCTCAAATGAGGATTTTTCGATCGGCAGCATATCACATCTTTCAGAGGCGGGTAACGTTTGGAAAATGTCACCATCTTTATGAAGACGTCTATGATGAAAACAAATGCATCTTATATATAATGTAAGGACTAGAGCATTAAAGTTGTTCTTACTGATGAAAGTAGCCAAAATGTCCATAGTAAAGACAAAAACAAACACACAGGTGTCTATATCTGGAATGGAACTCTTTAAACAGTATTAAAAACTCAGTAATTCAACGCTACAATCATACATGTATGTAGACTGACACACTGTAAACGCAAGTATGCCTCTTAACAACGCATGCAAGCTGAATGTTGGTTGCAATTCTTTTTATTCAAAGAGTCACACAAAAAAGGTAATGATATTTATTGGGTTTCACAATTAATTATTCACCATTTTCATTTTGGTAAACAGTCAATGTGATAACAAAAAGTCATATGACGTTATGCCCAATTACAATAGTTAAGAACTTTTAGGGTAGTGAAAGAGGCATAATATAAATCTTTACAGCATACAGTGATTTTCAGAAGAAAAAAATCAGATTCCCCTTCAAGCACTTTAAGAAAGCGGTTGGAAACGTTTATGAATGAGAAAGTATTGAGCGAATGTACAAAGCTAAAGACTAAGGGGGCAAGTGCCTGGAATCATTTGTGTTACAACCCGGTGGAATCAGACGTTCTTCGGTGTTTGGGCATATTGAGTCATCGGTATAATCATAAAGCATGTTCAATCCGTTGACGAAAAAATAATAATAAACAATATTTGTGATTGAAGCATGTAGAGGTGGCCAGGTGTCAGAGGTAAAATTAGCGAGAAAATAGCAGCCAAATTCAGGTGACTTCCAAAGCTATAGAAGTGTTCTTGGACACAATGGGCGGAAACGTGTGTTGGCTTCTTCTATTTCAATATTTTGACAAGCACCTGATTTCAACACGATACCAAACAAAATATGTACACTACTGCCGACTAAGGGGACAAGTTTTTGTTTGATACCAGTTGCATGTATTTGGCATAAAACCAAGCGCTGCACATTGACCCAAACTTGTACTTTTTTGCATCTTATGGCTCAACGGGGTCGATCGAATAGTACGTTGAGGCGCCACTGTGGATGATTGGCGGGTGCTCTGGTGTGGCTTAATCTTCTCTCTTATTAAAAATAGTATAATTATCCATACTCATTTTTACTTTCTTTTGTATGTTTTTCTCTTACAACACCTCTAATCTTCGGCACTTATGATATAGATCTAATATATTTTTATTGCAAGTGCTGTAAAACTCTTGCATAAACTAAACCATACAAAAGAGACGTTGGCTTAGGGCAAAAAACGTTCACAAAGAACAATACTACTCATCAATATCGGTTTCAAAGATTTCCCCTAAAACATAGATCTAGGTTTTTAAAAATCAAGGGCTTCCGCGACTGTAACGGTGGATTATTGATTATATAAATATTATATACATAATTTAATGTTATACAGGTACATGTATCTTTAATTAAAGTTATAAATGGAAAAATATAAAATACCATGAAAAGCATATTCACAATGGACGTAATATTATTAAAATGGGTATAAAGGTCTGATTGTTCAGAACTGCTGTAACGCTATGATACCATGGGTAAAATATGCAAAACATTTTCAATATTATTTCGGTGATGGAAATCTTGTTAAAATTACATACATGCACACAAAAAATATCTAAGAATCGAATTCGTTGACAGGTTAGCAATGGGGGCTCCAGTGGCTAAATAAGTAGTGAGTTTAGACTCAAGTAATGTCAAGCAGGTGTCGGGGACACGGGCATCAGATGGGTTGTCTCTGGGGTGTGTCCTTGAGCAAGACACGACAATCCTAGCTCAAAATACAGGGCGCTGCACAGTGGTGACCGACAGTGGCATGGTTGTAAACTGTTCTATATTTATGAAATATTGTGTATTTATGTATTTGTGCCGGTATTTATGTATGTTCGTTTTATAATTATGTATTTATGTATGTAAATGTATGTTCACCATTGAAAACCAAAGGGAACTTTTGGGACTAATAAAAGTGTCATTTATTTTTTCAGTTTATTAACCTAAGGTATAAATTAATTACACTGGCCAGTACAATGTTTCCTCTTCAGGACATTACATCACATGCGATGTATACTCGGCCAAGAGTATGTGATTTTTGGAGCAGTAAAAAGTACGTTAGATGGTGTGAGAAAATAAGCTTGAAAAACAAAAGCTTGTATGTGCGTCGCGTTTGTGTGTGCGAGTGCATGTGAGCGTGTGTATCTGTGTGCGTGTGTATGTGTGTCTATGTGTGTGTCTGTGTGTGTGCATGTGTGTGTGTGTGTGTGTGTGTGTGTGTGTGTGTGTGTGTGTGTGTGTGTGTATGTATGTGTAGTGCTCGCGCACGTGAGAGAGAGAGAGAGAGAGAGAGAGAGAAGGGGGGGGGGGGGGTTGGAGGGGTGGGAGTTAGAGCAAAAATGACAGATCAAGAACGAGATGAGCAGCGAGAGATGGACTAAGAGAAAAAGAAGTGGGAAAACAGACGGACGGACAGAAAGAGATATATAAATAGATAGGGAAAATGAGGGTGCAGAAAAGAGTCCCTTTATCTACACTTAGCACACACACACACATACATACACACACACACACATGCACACACGCACACACACAAACACACACACACACATACATACATATATATATACTCTTCAAAGATATGGGTATTGAATCAGTCACAAATTCGAGTCGTTTTTAACAAAGGGGGGAGGGGGGGGGAGGGGTAATATGGGGAGATTGAAACAATAAGAAATATCAGACGTGGTTGATTCAGAGCATTCACTTTCATTATAGTAATCAAAATCAACCCATAAGGTACAGAGCCTTAACAGAGAAGGGTAAGGTGCATGGCCATCTAAAGATAATAACAGTATTAATAAAGGCGAATTCTTCTGAGACCAGCATTCAGAGAAATAACAATACAACAGCACTCAGAGAAATAACAATACATGCATATTTTCAGGAAATGAAACTTCACATGACATCATTGAAATAATTCATTTAGAGTAAAACTTCTAAGAGCGCCTCTAAAGTGTTTGGTTCCAAGGCATTGCAATACTTTAACCTCTCCAAAGGACTGGCGAGGTTGTGAAGGCAATGTGAGGTACGTGCAAGGGAATGTAGGAGATCCACAGCATCGGTGTCCTAGAATTAATAAACAAAGGAGAAAATGAATCGTGTCAATTTAACACCAACCGAATAAACGATGATGAAAATCTATGATAATCATAATACACAAGGCGGAAGAACAAGTGTGCAATCTTTTCAGCTTGATCTAGAAACAGAATTATGAAAATGTCTCTCCTGTCATAATAAATACATGTGATATCAATCGCAATCCAAGTCTGAATGGACAAGTTTATCCTTGTATCGTTTATAGACCGAAAACTCGCAGTTCTCAGAAAGCATTCTAACACTTATGTTGTCCTCCTAGAAAGGATTAGGCCTGTAAACACTGTAGATAATATACGACGTTTTATCGTTCTCAATGTCTCTTCCAAATGTACATTGGGATAATACTCTGCACATTGTCATCACATGTCATATTATATGCATACGTACCTTAATCATATAACAAAGCTATGAACGTAAACGATGGCTGAATTTTACTACAATACTATGTCTTACAACTGTGTGCAATTCACACACATACACACACACACACACACACACACACACACACACACACAGACACACATGTGCGCGCAAGCTTTCTTTTGGGTAAGAATAAAAACCTTGCTATTAATAAAATGACATATATCATAACAGGTGGGAGGGGGTGGGGATAAAAGAATAAAACAGAGAACACCAAACACCACCAGCAGAATGTATTCAAACTGGACTGAAAATTCCGTAATAGGGAAAACATGTGTATTTCAAACAAGCATGTTTTGGGGAACTATTGTCAGTGCAAACAGACCTCTTTCGTCAACAGTGACATTCCTTATTCTGTTAAATATGCCAGTCACTGATATCTCCCACACCTCATCCTGCCCTTTTGCACTTCCAAACGGAAGCCCATACACTAAAAGTTCATCATTGAAAAGAACTACTCCATAGATGGTACGCTTAAAATCCCACAGCAAAGTCTCCTGCTGCACATTCAGAAAGGGGGGATCTTCAGTGGTTGAAATCCTCCACAAGATGCCATTGTTTTGGATGGCAAAAGCTTCACGACCTTTCCTGAACGTAACAAAGCTTGCTGTTTCATCAAACTGCCCTTCGGTGAGATCAAACATCTTCATCTTGGCAGTGTCCACACATTTAATCGTGGTGGCCTCTGATCCTCTTTCAAATAATATGATTGTATTCTCCACGCTTGTTGATGCCGCAATCTCCTTGAGATCTTCCGCTATTTCCACTGTTTTCCACTTTCTGTTGCTGCTAGTAGGACTTAGTCTCGACAAAGAAACCTTTGTCCCTTTAGTGATTGCAAACACGTAGGACCCCAAAGCTGTCAATGAAAATAAGTCATGTGCTTTGTCAATTCCAGGTAAGGTATCCCATTCTGAATTGTCAGCACCTATTTTGCATTCGGCAAAATGAAGGGTATCTGGATTTTGGCTCTTGAAACCCAAAAGGACATTGTTCCCATAGACACATATTTTCTCCGATCCGGTTAATCGATCTTTCCTATTAGAAGAATAATACCCCACATTACTTTGCTTCGATTTGTACACCCGATGACAGACTAAGGGTGTCGAGTTGTTGGAACGTGTCTTAACTATGACATTAGCGAATGTTCCCTTGTTCCGATGCATGGCATGAGGGGAACAAAAGTCATGGCGGCGGTCCAACATGAGCTGATAAGCAACACTTTCGTCTATCAGAAGCTTGACACATTTACTTTCCTGTGCGACAGAATTTCCATACAGCGTGTGCATGAGACATTTGCCACTAACAAGGCACATGCGAGACAGATTGAGAAGGTCTGGTAGGCATTCTCTGCGACTCATAGACTTTATTTCGGCCCCGCTGGCTTCTTTCCCAGATTCAATTTCAAATGTCACCCATCGGACTATGATCTCAATGACGTTATCTTCGGAATCAGTAACGAGGTCAGCACTCTGCACCAGGTTCTTCATATCTTCAAATGTCAACAACAGTATGTTTTCCTGTAAGCTCACATCATCAAAATGCTCAAGAAGGTATTTCCACGAGGCTTCAGAAACCTTCTTAGACTCAAGCAGTCGGGCGTGCTGATAGAACACAACACAGTTCTCTGCAGAGAGTATCGACAACACAAACTCTTCACATTCTGTCAACATATAAAGTATCTCCAGCTGGTTAGCTATGTGCCAGATTTCTAAAACGTTTTCTTTGTTCAAAATGTCGCATCCAGTATACATGGCTTCCAAAACTTTTTTAAATGCCTGCTCGGGTATCCCTTCGAGCTGAACTTTTTGCTCAAGATCTTCTTTCATCTTTGATCCCAGCATGCCTCGAAAAAAACCTGAGCTGGCAACAAGGACAACGCGGTGACTTTTTATCTCTTCCTCTCCCACTTGGATGACAAGATCGTAAAAATCGGAGTCATTCTTCTGGTCCCCGAGGCCTTTGAGTATTCCTTTAATGAATGAAGGATTGGGCTTTGTCTCGACGGGAGCATCCATTGCTAATCTGAAAAATCAACAAAGTACACATGATTTAAGTACTGAAAAACAATTATCATATGAATTTTGAACTAAGACATTAATGAAAAAAAGAGTCAACTTCTATCTGCACTGCGAGGATTCCACTTCAAAGAGATTATGTGTAGTGATTAAAACTAAGTAGACGAAGTGGCTACACAACTATTAAGTCGTACATGTTTCAGAAACAGCCATAAAACATTAAGTATACGAACTCTCACAAATACACAGTAAAACAGTGCAGACAGGAACGAGTAAGCACCCATGGCATGATATAAACAGCCCAATTAAGCAAAAATCCAAAGCAGTGCACCAACGCCAAAAAAACCTGTAATTTCTTTCCAAGTTCGGGACTTTCGCTTTGGCGTGCCACTGACCCGACTTTATTCATGATGCAATAAAGAGAGGGCGGCTCGACTCGCTCTTATCTCTTGAAGGGTGGTTTTTAACGAGTAGTATTGCTTTAACTAATAGGAAAAAAACTCTCCAACAGCTCTAGTCCAATCGGAGACAAACGGTTATATAGAGGTTCCCTCTCATAAATTTAAGTACTTTTTACCATTTCCATAAAACCAATACCAGATGAAATAACACATTCCTACAGCATGTTCAATGCGTGCAATAACCGGAATAAACACCAAGTATGATACATGTACATGTAGTAATATCAAACATAATCAAGTACACGTTTTAAGCTTACAATGTGTGTGTTTGTGTGTTTGTGTGTGTGTGTTTGTGTGTGTGTGTGTGTGTGTGCGTGTGTGTGCGAGTGTGCGTGTGTGTGTGAGTGTGTTTGTGTGTGTGTGCGTGTGTGCGTGTGTGTGTAAGTGTGTTTGTGTGTGTGTGTGTGTGAAAGAGAGAGAGAGAGAGAGAGAGAGAGAGAGTGTGTGTGTGTGTGTGTGTGTGTGTGTGTGTGTGTGTGTGTGTGTGTGTGTGTGTGTGTGTGTGTGTGTGTGTGTGTGTATGTTGGGCAAATATTTACGCATTAGGCGACAACGCGCTCCTGCAGTTGACACAACGTAGACCCTATCTCAACCCAGAATGTGATTTTTGCTATTACCTAAATCATAAAAAATTGAGGTATACAGTTTATAACACGCGCTCAGCAATGTCGGCAGGACGCGGATATAATTTACACATTTTGTACAGATTGTAGGCGATACCAAAGGAGAAAACTCAAGTTATACTATAGGGACAAAATTTTACATGAATTATGCCCCTTATGCCGAGCGCATTTAGCTCGTTGATCCTTTTTGATAAAAAAAGGTCATGACCCTCTGAGACAGGCCGACGTACCATCGCTTCGGCCGATTTAGTATCGTTAAAATATCAATGTATAGGCCTATTGATGAATTGATGGGTGGGTGTGTAAGTGTGCGAGAGAGAGAGAGAGAGAGAGAGAGAGAGAGAGAGAGAGAGAGAGAGAGAGAGAGAGAGAGAGAGAGAGAGAGAGAGAGACGTAAGTGTGTGTTTGTTTGTTAGTTAGTTAGTTTGTTTGTGTGTGTATGTAGGTGTGTGTGTGTGTGTGTGTGTGTGTGTGTGTGTGTGTGTGTGTGTGTGTGTGTGTGTGTGTGTGTGTGATAAACAAAGCAAACAGTGGACTGGCGATGCTTTTGTCTCTCCCGCAATCAATAATGTTCTCCTGTCTCGATTTCTTGCCATGTCGCTATCTTGAAACGCGTAGTATTGAAATGCATTGCATCGGCGTCTGTGGTCTAGCAGTATAATATTATATTTTATAGACCCTTCGTCGTGGCACGTAAAATATCCGAGCTCGATTCCTTTGTGTGAAGAATTTTAATCGTGTGGCCCACACATTGTATCTTGGTCTTTCTTGTGGGATGTTGTATCTTTTGCAGACATGTATGGACCTGACATTCAGTACTGAAATGTAGTGCCTGAAAAATGATTTAAGTTGGGTCGTTGGGAGTTTAAAAAACACTTTATAAAAAAGATAAATTAAGAAGTGCAAGACAGCTTTGCTTTCGTGATTATGACCAAAGTTTCCATCATTTCTCCATTTCTCCAAACATGTTTCTTTGGCACACACAAAGACATCAGAAAATCAAAAGCCCCTGCTAAAAGATATTTGTAATATAATAGTAAACATGAGCCAAAAGCTTGTAATATTATGCTAGGAGGAGAAAGAATTCTCTCTCAAGCTGAGTTTGCTGCTAAAACAGGCTATGTAATCATTTTGCCAATTTAAGCTGGTTCGAAAACTTTTATCAAATAATTTTAACAGTTTTGTTCTTTTTTTTAAAATATACCTTTCAAAATCCGACCTCTACCTCTCCATGGTTCCACGGGGCAGCAAGTACATATTACTTATTTATATGATTGTTTTTCGATCAAGAAATAAGGATGACATCATAAAAAAATAGTGGGGGGGGGGGGAAGCTAAAAACAAACCAACAAATTCCAACAGCCTCAGAACTTGGCAAACGGAAAAGGTCTAGTAATACACGCCTAAAATTATAATTGTAATACACTAAAAGAGAATCGATACCAACAGAAAAAACAGGCTCAAATCTCTTTGGCATCCGGTAACACTTCTTTTGTGTTTTGGGGGTTCTTTTATGTTTCTTTTGTTGTTTCAATCAGGGGTAAAGCGCCTACATAATTTAATTATCACCGCTTCCCTTCCTTAATTTGGGACCATCGTGGCAGTCAAATTAACCCAGAGACCGTGATAGACCTTGGCTGTAAAAATTTAAATAGCAATTGATGTTCATGAAATCACCAATGAGTAGTGTGCATTACACTCGAAACTGTTTACATAAATACCCTGTTTATCCCTTTAGGGCCACTCTCATAAGCAGTGAGAAGCGCTGATTATGCAAGGTAACATTTAAAATGGTAGAGTCTACCTAAACAAAACAAAAACCCTATATAATCTCATGATTTCTGTAAGTACTTATTCTTTCCTTGACCTTTTACCGCTCTATAATCAGGTCAGGACCTGTTTACATCTCTGCTTCTTTGACCCTGGCTGATGAAGACAATCAAACTTAAAACCAAATTGATAATACATTTCATTTTGTTGTACATGTATTCTCATCTCTGCTTCTTTGACCCTGGCTGATGAAGACAATCAAACTTAAAACCAAATTGATAATACATTTCATTTTGTTGTACATGTATTCTCATCTCTGCTTCTTTGACTTCTGTTTGCGTATCCACCTCTCTAGTTATGTTTATTGTTACAAATCTTGAAATCATTATTCGCGTGGCATGTTTAAAAGTTATAATTACGTTTTCCCAAAAGTGGGAATACAAATTAATTAATGTGACATTTTCTCGATTATTTTTGCGGGTCAACATACAACATGGAACCAGAATATCTTTTCATTCACAAATCGAGTGGTGGCAGTGGGTATTCAGTGTATGTCTGTGTGTGGGTGTTTGTTTGTTGTTTGTTTAGTATAGGGTTTTACGGCGCTCGCAACTGCAAGGTCATATGAGCGCGCGGGACACACCTAATACTTTTTTGTTGGTAGGAAATTTTGAATTTTGCCCGGGTGGCGGCCGAAGCCTACTCTTATCGATTTTAGACCACCAAGGGATCTTTAACGTGCGCAACTTGCACACGGGCCCTCCGAGATTTTTCGCCCTTGTCCGAGAAGGCAAGGTGTAGATCTTTCCTACCAGAAGATCAGGGGTGTGGCAGAAAGACAGCAGTTAGGAGGAGCCAAGGAGTAGCAGTAGAAAGGCTGCAGAAAGAGTCAGGAGCCCAGAGGAAGGGGCAAAGGAGGTGAGGGGGTGGGGGCAGAAAGTGGAAATGAAAGCAGACAACAGAACATTGTTAGAGATCAGGAAAGGATATGAAAGGAGACAATTTTAGAGAAGAACTTTTTTGGTCGCTACCAGGAATCGAACCCGGGACCTTTGAATGAGAGGCCAACGCCTTAACCTCTAGGCCACGAGAGCCCCCCTTTTTTTTTTTTGGGGGGGGGGGGGGTTATTTTTTGTTGGGGGGGGGGGGGTATGTGTTGGTGTGTGTGTATGTGTTTGTGTGTATGGGGTTGCATAATATGTATACTTTTGCAGGTACATATTGTGATGTAGATGAAACTGAAGACATTATACTCATACATATGCGCTTCTGCTACGCCCTTCAACGTCGCTTGGAAATGAAAAATGGTCCTGGAAGAGAAGAATGAACTTTTAACGCCAGAGGCGAAGGCTGATTTGTTTGAAGGGTAATCAAAATGAGACAAAGAAGCAGGTAGAAATGAGGCCAAACACGAAAAACTTCCCTACAATAGCAACATAAATATGGAATTTCTGATTCGAGGCGGCATTACTGGGTTGTGAATGAAAACAAATCTTGACTTCATATTGCTGTATGTTTATCCGCCAAAACAATTGAGAAAATATCTCATTTAATAAGTTTATTCCCACATTTGGCAAAACATATTACATGACTTTTACTTTAAACACACTGTGGAAATAATATTCTCAAGGTTTTTTAACAGTAAACTGAACGTAAGGTATCAATGATCAATGGATAAACAGAAGGCGAAAAAGCAGAGATAACAATACAACAAATTACGTTTGAGCAATTTCGTATAAAATGTGGCTGTCTTTGTGTTGGCTAGCTTTCCGGGGCGAGGAAATCATAATCGTGACCTGATTGTAGTAGAATTTTCATAGTCGGATTTAAGGGGGGGGGGGGGCTACACCTGGAGGCTATCTCGCTTGTTACTGGAACGAATTTTACCAAATTTCACACATATAACAAGCATAGTTAGGAGTCTTAAAATCCGCAATCAAATTTGAGAAAAAAGTTTCGTTTCCATGGATACGCCGCCATATTGGATTTTATTGGCATGTCTTACGTAATGAATACCGCACTTGTCGCTCATGGAAATTGATTGTTTTGGGTTTTTTTGCATGCGTGTTCACAAACATTACATCTAAATATTTTTTCTGTTGTTTTTTTCCTAATCGAATTAGAAAATTTTTAATGAATTTTTTCCTGAGGTAGCATTCAAGTTTGCGAAAAATCCGTGAAAATCCACACTCCAGACACCACCAACAAAAATCTATTCCATATATCAAAAATTCAACAGACAAATGTTTAGTATTACCTCTTCTCTTCATTCTGTGAAAATTTCATGAAGATTGGATGAAAAATGGTGGAGTTATTCAAAAAAGTATAGAGGAAAGTCGCATTTTGAGAAAACGACCGATAAAGAAAAATAAAATACTGACTTAATGAGGAAATGGTGGTTACAAACATGCCCGGTACGGGAAAAAATACGGTTTTTGGGGGTTCTTATGCCATGAAATAGTTGTAGGAGAGGCTGAGGAAGCTAAAAATGCCTACAACTCAAATTCCATGATTTTGAGCCGAATTTTGATTTTGGGGGTGTAGCCCTCCCCCCTTAAAAAAAGAAAATTGCTCTATTCTATGCACTTAAAAATTATTAATAGATCTTCTATTCTTAAGAAATAAAGGCCGTTTTTTTATGTGCACGGTCAAGAGCTTCGTCGTCGCACGCTAAAGACCTTAGTTCGATTCCCGTACGGGGATAAACTTTTACTGACAACCTCCGTCTTCCTGCAGGGGCGTTGTCCTCTCTCAGCCCAGATTGGCACTGACATTGGATTGAAGTAGCCCGTCTCCTAAATGTTCTAAAAAATGTCATTTGGGAGTGTAAAATATCTACAATACATACGATACAAAAGCTAATCACAACAACCAAAGGAGTTTTCCATTCTAAGATAATCTAAGTCTACTTATCGGAAAGTTAAAAATAGCTTCGGCTATAATATAGCCCTCTACTCTCTACGTCTAGCACCAAAACAAGCACAGCCTCTCCTTTCCTCCCTGGTTCAGAGTTCACACTGCGAGCGGTCTTACTGCTCGCTGCTGGGCTAGTGGCCTGCCCGGCGACGAGCAAGTCATGGGACGCAAAGCAAGTCATGGGGCACAAAGCAAGTCATGGGGCAACATGGCGTCCCGTCCTGTGTCCAGCTTGGTGCTGTCTGCTATTTGTGATGATCGAAGATGCTACTTGCATAGCCCAGGGTTCGGATTGGGGTGAGGTGTAGGGTTTGGGGCTAGAGTTAAAGGTAAGGTTTAATGGCTTGGGGTTAGCATTTGGATGCGGACTAGGGATCGGGCGATCCACACCCTAACTCTAACACTAAGCCTCAATTTCTCACCCCAACCCTATCCTAAACCATAAAACCCATCCCATCCCAGGCCTGACCCCAAACGCCAAATCCATTGTTAGGGATACAGATCTATAGATCTGGGTAGTAAGGACTAGCGTAAGCGAACACCACCCTGCGCACTAAAAGAGGGGAAGTTGTGAGTTGTGAATCGGGCGCAGTAAAAGGCTAAAGAAATAGTTTTCATTGAAGCATCTAGATCAGGATCTATTTGAAAAAGTAGACAAACCTTTCATGCGAAAAAGTAAGCTAGAAAGGATTGGTTAATTGCAGTTTTCAAGGTGGTGTTCGCTTACAGTAGTCCTCACTACAGATCTAGATCTAAATCTAACCCTGGCTGTGACTCGATTGCTTGATCGTGAAGGATCTTTTTGTCCCGTCTTCCATGCTAGAAGTAGATGAGTCTACTACTAGAGTATAGTCCAATATTTAATTTCTTGAATGGACTGGATTCCAGAAATCTACAACCTGCAATTAGAGTAGGCTACAACTAGACCTAGATTCGAGGTTTTAGTAAAGGCACAGTCTAGGGAAAACATCAACAAATTTGCGTCGCGGTGAGAAAAGAGGGCCAAACCAATCTCAGAATCGCGACTCTCACATAGCACTTCACTTAGCCTATGTTCCGGAAACTAGATCAATAAATAGATTGACGTATGACCCATGTCAAAAGTTGGGATGTGGCTGTGGGTTGACGAATCGGAAATCGGAAATGCACGACGTCGACGATGTTCCCAAATATCGAAATAAATCGGTGAGTATTTGATTGTGTAGACGTGTCGCCCCAGCCTAACACATTGGTCCGCTTAATTGGAGGCTATTTTCAGTTTCGATACAGTGTATCCCGCGACACCCCAAAGGGTATAAGCGGCGGATAAAAGTAAGGATAAAAGTAAGGATAAAAGTAAGGATAAAAGTAAGATACAGTGTAAATGGAATCCTGGGGTCATTCATCAAACGTGAAAATTACATACACTTTTTCAAAACTGTAACCCCCTCCC